AGCTGGTGGCACTGGCACCGTTTTAGCAGCCTTCTAATTGTGCTGGTTAATTACATGGAAATGTAACCGAGTGGGAGTTTGGAAGCAAGATTTCTCTGCTGTGCAAACTCTTGACAAAAGTACAGCTGTCAATGCATTGATATGGTGTCAGTAACAGTCTGAAATTTAATACGTTTTTTTTTTCCTTAAGCTTCCTTGGCTGATAAATGCCAGTTTAAAGAGCATCCTGATCAAAGCTAAGGGATATTAAAGTTTGGGTTTTTTTGTAAAGCATTTTAGTTTTTATTTCAAATAACTTATGATTTGGTCCCTCATATTTTTTCTGACATGTACAAAGGACTGTATAATATGTTGCCTAGACATAATCACCTAAAAATCTAATTATCTATCTATCTCTGTGTTTCTATAGATTTTAAACCACGTCTGAATCATGATAAAATGGTCCAGAATAAATAAATAAAAACACCTACAGTATGAGACACTAAGGTTTGTGTAACTCAAACCCAAAGTTTCATCAATAAGTAGCATCTGTGTGACACAGTGCTAAAAAAATAAGAAGACGTGCATTTTTGAACATCTTCAAGCTCCTCCTTCAATTGACCAGGTATGCATTACAAGCTGTAGAGTTTGTAGAGCAAAGAACTCCAGAGTGCCCACACTGACATGCACGACGTGTCCTTGAAAACGCACAAGTTGAAAGTATCTACCAACATGTGAAAATTCTACTCCAAAAACTCACAAAAACATAGAACAGAAAGAGATAGGTAGATAGACAGACAGATAGACAGACAGACAGATAGATGATAGATGGATGGATGCAGTGGCACACACTACAGCGATGCATTGCACTCTAAAGACAAAGAGTAGTTTCACTTTCAGCATTTTTTGAGAGGAGGAGGAAAGCTGCTAATTTACTAGGGAAGGATGGCAGAAAAAAAATGCATCCTTTGGTTGAAGAAAAAGGGAAGAAAAATTCCATAATATGGCACTGCTTCAGATTTGAACAATTAGTGTGTTTTGTATTGGTTAAATTCCTTTATTAGTTTTACACAAAGCAAGGCAAAAGAACACAATGGCAAAACCACTCGGGTTCCTCGTCCTTCTGGATCCTTGCACTTAAACCTCTGTGAAGCCATTTATATCTTTGCTCATTCTTACTCCCAAGCCAGCAAAAAAATGTCACAGATGAGTTTGTCCTGGAGGTGCAGAGCTACAGTTGAGCAAGTTGAGAGCTGGATAGAGCTTCCTCGAGCATGTCAGAATAATACTAAAAAAGTGACGCAATTCAAAGCCATACTTTGGCAGCCTGCCTCCAAAGTAGTGCAAAATCTCTCAGCATAAGTACTTGGGGGCTGGGTAAGTAGGGGGATGCAGAAATGTTGTCATGAAGACCTCATTCACTCCACATTTCTTTTAAAATGCTGCAGGCTATGAGACCGGTTCTTTAATATAATTAAAAACATTGGTAAAGACCAACTTATAATCATCCTTCTTGTATCATTCATAATGCATCATGATCTGAACATTGGCAAAAAGTTAATATATTAACTTAAGGGGGTACAGGGATTAGTAGTATTCAATATTTGCAGTAAAATTGTTTTAAAATATACTTACAAATGTAGACTATGAAGTATATAATTCCAAAAGACCACTGTAGACAATTAGTATACAATTGCAAAATACAGAATTTAGTAAAATACTTAATTTACATTTACGCATTTAACATATGGCACCACATAAGTTTAAATATTACTCAGACAATTGCTTGAAACACAAGACAATCGGTTAGTATACATTTAGCACTGAATTCAAGACATTGTCATTTTTTCCCCATTGTACTCCACAAACTAAAATGATATTTAATGACAAATGAATTTATATTATTATATTATATTTGCTCGAGACTTAAAACTGTATTTAATATAAAATAACAAATGACTTTGTATGCATTCCAGTGCAAGGTACATACTACTTTGGTACAACAGTAGAAATTCTGTCTGTACTGCACTCCTCAGTGCGTTCAACCTACACAGAAACAGACAAAGCCTTCAAAACGACACAGACTACAGTTAACATTTATCATGCCACACCTATGATCTTGTCTGGCCTCCTCAACGCAGCAACAGCGTTGAAGGACGCAGCAACACTGGCCTCTGGTGTCGAACCACACATGCAACGATAGGGCCACACCATGGCCAACAGAGAACAAGGAGCAAACCAACCAGGAGTCCTGTGCACCACCCACAGAGCAGAGACCAGACCACATACAGGGAAAGGAGGTACAGAAGAAGTCCAGGGAAAAAATGTAGAGGTGGCCATTTAAGAAGGACAAAGGAGTCACTACTGTGTGCGTGTTTTTCCTTGTTCACAGCCACCCACTGGACACTAACCCAGTTCTGACAGCAGCGTGTACAGTATATCTATGCACAGCGATGTGGCCTTTGGATGTGTGCTCACAGGGCATTTTAGTCACTCTTTCAGCAGCCTTTATTTAGAAAGGCAAACGTGGGGGCTCAATTATACATAGAGACAACTGCTCTTATCTCTTGTCCCTCTGAGGAGCACAGAACACTGCTGCAGTTGTGGATGTTGCAGGGATGCTCTGAAAAAAAAAAACCAAAAAAAAAAAAACACCTAAAAGCAGCAGATTTATTAATAGAAATAGGAGCGCGTTATAAACTCTCTGAACATAGCACCACGATCTACTTCATTCTGAATCTGAACACTGTTGAAATAATCAACTCCAAACACTACAGGACTATTTGATTACAAAGCACATATATTACACTTCATTGATAGACAAAAGGGTGATATACAGATGACACCTATAAATTGCCTTTAATAATGGCTTTCCCTTTGGCTAGGCTGTTCCCAAATACCGACAGGAACAGAGATGCCCTAGGTTTTTTGGCATTATTCTGGTAGACTAATTGCTCGGGCTTTTAGCTGCTGGCTGGCTGGATATGTAATCTTCTAATGACTTACCAAGAGAGAATGCTTGCCAAATGTAGGTCAGAAACCAGTAAGCTGAAGTGGCCAACACTGAGCAAAGTGCAGCAACCAATAGTGCCAACGATTTGATTGACAACAACAAAGTGGATCAGCCAATTGTTTAGAATTTGATTTCATTGATATTATATTAGGGATGCACTTAATATTTGACCACCGAAAGACTTTAAACACCAAAATAAACGGCCGAAACAGGAAGTTATGACTCTTTTTGCCCCGTTTGAGCTAACTAAAGAAATCGTTTTTTTTCTGATGCATCTGTAGCAGATGTTATTCCTTTAAACGCAGTACTAAAGTGTCTTCTAAGAAAAGACATTGAGACGAACAACAGAGTGAAAACAATGAAAAGTACGCTTATAGAGTCTATCAGCAAATGTTTCACTGAGATCTATTCGGCTACTCTGCACTTCGTCGTAACTGTACTTGATCCGCGTTATAAAGATCATTACTTGGATGAGGGAATAAAGCAGCGTGCACGAGAAATGATTCAGCAATTGACTTAAATGCACTTTGTGTTTTAATGAGAGACCATTTTCATATTTACATTAATCTTACAATTTTTCAGCAGGCCAGTAACAATGGTACTAATTGGCATAATTTCTTTTGGTGTTTTGGCCTTGGTTTCCTCATTTTCGGCCAACAATTTTAATTTCGGTGCATCCCTAATTTATATAAATAAAATTGTAATAAATGTAATAAATGTCCACTTATTTCCATGATTATACTTGTAACGGGTCTGTAGACCATTACAGGTATAATATTCGTTTTAAACCTTTAACACAAAGTTCCACATACCACACATTACAGCACTACATTGTAATGGTCATTTTATTTATGCAGGATTTTTTTATTACTAATTTCATTTTATTCTTTCATTTCTCAATAAATATACATAACTTGTATTTTTATGCTGAGTACAAAAAATAAAAACCAAACTATGAGATCTATTTAACCACTGAACCATTGTTTTTTTACCATGCATTGTACATCATCCTAAATCTTAAGGTAGCATACACCAAAATGAAAAACAATGTAAAATACATATGCATTCAATGGCAACTTCTGTAATTTTCTGAGCTATGAAAACAATATGTCTGACAAATGAGTAATTTTTCCTGTATTGTCCTATATCTTACCGTGATTAGCCTTGGTTACAAATGGGTTACAATAGGTTAGCTGAACAGTATAAATTGGCCGTAAATGGTGGTAGTAATATAACTTTTCTTCTCTTTCTTTTTTAAAGAAACCACAAAGTTTAATTTCTACTACTGTAATACTTGTTTTTACACTTTGTGTAAAACTGATTACAGTGTATCATTAGTCACCAGACTGTAAAATAAATCAATAGTCAGAGGAAAGTTAAAACATTTTCTGTCAAACTTCAAAGAAGTTAGACAAAAAGTCAAAAATAAATCTACACTTTGCTGCAAGTATGATTTTATCTGCGCATGTTCAGAAACAGATTTAAACTGAGCTTGTAGTTAATCGTGATGTGGAAGGAGCAGCTGAAGTGAAGCGTACTGGTTTAATTGGTTAATGGGCTGCACCTGCTGCTCTTGACTGCAGCAACGACCGCTATTGAGCTCTCGTTACAAGACATTTCTACAACGTTTGTATCATGGCATGGTATTTATTGCACTCTGACAGAATTTGGTATTTTAAGGTACGCGTTTTCTGTTATACGACGGTATTGCCTCAAACACGTGTTAAGCATTGAGTCAAGTAAAATGCTTTATTTTATTGAGGCTTCGTTCAACAGTAAACACAAATTTATTGCGCTTGCTTTTTAAATCAATTAAAACACCAAACAAATTTTAACAAGTAAAACGAATATTTCATGCAAGCAATACGTAAACAGCAGAGGGGATGCCTAGTAAGCTAATTCCCATTCCGAACGTCTTTCCAACCAGTATCTCCAACAACTCTAATTAGGTGCGGCACATTTTCGCCGCAGTTGAAATGTCTCAAAATTTTACACAATCTTCCCTTACCTTGAACTGTTGAATTGCCGCCGCGGATTTTTATTAACGTGATATCTGCAGAAATCTAACTTCGCCCTCAAAAGTTTGGTCGAGTAAGAGGCGGAGGTGGTAACGCGGCCACACTAAGTAAACTAATCAGAGCCTCGGCCAATCAGAGATGTCTACGTCACATTCCGGAAATACAATATTAACTCCGTCATTTACTGCAGGTGTAGCCTTTTGTTAAAAAAAATTAAACGGTAAAAACGTCACGTTACATGTTAACGTTTTTAATTTAGAATGCAACACAATTACGTTGCATTTTAAAATTAAAAGATTCGAGAATCATGAAAAAGGCCATCAAAAGGGCAATCAATTATCTATTTATTCCTAAAGAGGGGAATTTAAACTTTGGCTTGGTATGATTTTACCAGTTCTGTTAAATTACCATTTTGGTTTATAAATAACTCTCCATACAGTCATTTGCACTCTTTACAGCAAAACATGCCTTAATGGTGGACTTTGCATAGATATACACCATACAATGTTTAAAAAAAATCACTAATGTGCACTAATGTGCAGTAGTACGGGAGCTGTGCACTATACAGTACATCAATAAAGGTATTCAACACGAATTGGATGGTTTAATAGTTATAAATTATCATCCTGGTGGGCCATAAGCATTAGACATTTCTAACCTGAGGTCAAGTGAATCTGTTCCAAGTCTGTCTTTTTGACACTTGCTCTATATAAATTAGCTGTGACCTGTAATAAAACAAATTACAGGAACAACAGACATATTCAGTAAAATTTTGACTTTAATGTGCTGCCAAGGCTTCGTCCCTTTTCACGCACGCTCACAACGACTTTCAACTATTTTTAAAAGAGCTTAGACCAGGGAGCCATAACCAATGGCTGGTACATGCTGTACTTCAATTTACCATAAATATGACGCGTTAAGTTAGGGACCTAAGATTTAAAACATTATATTTTAAAGAGGTAACAACTGGCCATCTGACAAGAATATGCACCTGCTTTTTCTGTGTCATTAAGTCTAACACTAACACTACCAAATACAAGTTGATTCCCCATTATGATCCCTTTACTGAATAAAGTTACTTTCTTGCGTTCACTCCATTTAGGCTTAAAAAAGAATCCCTTGTGTAATTAAGAGTCACTAAAACACTGCCTACCATACCACAAAAGGGGTATTTAAATTTGGCCTAATACATATTTTTTTCTGTTGTACTCACATGGCATAAATAGTACACACTTTTAAGCAAATAAATTATTATAAAATGTCTCCTATTCAATAACCAGCTAGGCTTTACATAAGTGTCCTGTGTTATGTTAGGCACTTACAGTTTAGCTTCAAATGCATTACAAGCATTATATCTGTCCCCAGACCTAATGTAGAATTAAGAAAACCGGGTATCTTACTAAAACATCCACAATGCATCATTGGTGAAAATTAAGAGACAATGCCAGAGCTAGCGCTTACTGTACGTGAAACAAAAACAAAAAAAAAAAACAATAATATTTGGATAGTATTATTATTTGTCACGGGCCAAATTTGTCACCCAGACCGAACTTTACACACACCTACACTTGAGAATTTAGGTGCCACTAGAAAGCAAATGTTGGAGAGTAGTCTGACCCACCACTTTTACTCCATCCAACCACTTTGAATCCATCTTTGCATGCATCACAAATTTAATTTAGGAAACTAGCGACAATGAATTATTGCAGGGAAAAATGTTTACACAATAGTGACATGAAAAGACAAAACCACACTCTCTGAATAGGTGAGATCTCTGTAGCATTATTTTACTAATGTTTTTAGAACACTCCCGTGTGTAATTTTGTCCTTCCTTAAAACTCATAAATAACACACAAATATGTCTATGACAGCAGACCTGAATATCAAGCAGCACCCGCTTACCATTTTTATGGTACCTATAGTCCTATTCCTACTGATGGGACACTACAGCCTTACAGTAAGTCAGAAAAGTCGTCACAAATGATAAACGTTTTGTTTTTTTGTTCCTATATTTGCATCCCTGATAAAGTCCAAGTTTTATGAAGGAGTCTTGATTTACAGAAGAAACACATGTAATCTAATTCACATCTTGTGGCCATTTTTTAATGATAATCCCTAAGAAACATATACTAAACATTGTCACTAGTCCTATACTTCCATTTGGCTGTTTTTATTCAATAGGTACAGTTTTTTGAGCCACAAGCTACAATGTGGACTCCCACGTTTCAGTGCTCTACCAAGGACTGTATCTCCACACACTGGAACAATAAAGGCGTCATTACACGTCTCAGACCTAGGGAGATTTGGATATGTTCACATGTGCGCAGCCTACACTTATTATTATCGTTTGAGTGCATTAGAAGTCAAAGGCACCGCCGCTCAGCCGTCAATGGAAACATTAATGCAGCACGGTGACTTTCCTGTGGCGTTCACATGCAATAAAACACCTCCAGAGACCATACAATGAATGCATCATCTGACACAGGGTGAAGAAAACACGCTGTAAAAATGTTCTGAGACATTAGTGGAAAAAAACATCTTACCGTTTCTATTAATGAAAGTTATGGACGTCCTTTGGGCAAACAATCTCTGAATCAAACACCTGGCCAATAGCGTGTGAAATGATGAAATTCCGCTCTCTTTAGTTCAAACTTGGGAACATAAAAAGCCAACACAAACAAGGTAAAATGAGATAAAACGAAATATTTATTAAATCAAAACACACAAATGACTTCCTTTCAGCAGGTGCATGGAAAACATAAGGGGTAAAAAGGAACAGAAGAAAGAAAAGGAATCAAATAACTAAAAAAAAGCCGGCTTCTGCCTGTCTCGCTCTTTACAGGTGCGCCACACAAATACGCGACATCACTGAGTGGAAACCAAAGCGAGGAGGAGGTTGCCTTTAAAAGGAAGATAGTCCTGCCGGTGGATTATATAGAGCCGTATCACAGCGCGCCTATACCTCTCCGCTCTCCCCCGTTTCATCCATTCAACCTACACACCAACGCACATTGGACGCGGAAGTATACCTAGAGGAGCATCATCCACCGCTTATGCACGAACAGGCTCTTCAACACTATTGGCTCCTTGTCGGTCTCCACTGTCAGACCGAGCCACAAGATGCCATTCGTCCTCCCCCCAGTCACTCAAGCCATCGAGCATTTCCCCTAAAGATGGCATTTGAAGTCAAGATGTTTCCTCTCTAAAGCAGAGACACACGGGAATATCACCCCAGCTCGGGTCTATTTGAATATCATTCCCTCCTCTCCTGATCGTTTTTCAACACAAATGTGTTTTCTTTGAACCTTGTCTTTGACTGACCTCGTTAAGTAATGTATGCTTGAAGTGCTGCTTAGTGACTAGATGCTCTGCTACTGCTGTGCCATTAGACAAAATCACAGCTCCGACACGGCGTTCTGGTCATAAACCGTGTCGTGTTTTTCCACTAACACCGTCTCCAAACCTCCGCATGCGCCATTTCCCTGCTTTATATTCCAACATACATACACAACATAATGTCATTACAAACGTCGCAGAAATCAGCGTTCTCGCTTTTGTTGCACTAAAAGCACATGGTCTTCTAAGAGCAGCTTCCAGCACCACGGACAGCGCAGCACAGTACAGTATTAGAGCAGCTTTCTGCCTACAACATCGTCTGCTTTACAGACACAGACAGTGAATGGTCAGCTCAAAGCACTCGACCTGCAGGCTGGAAACAAAGGTGGGCGTTTATTCGGAAGCCCTGAGATACAGTTTGGACAGCAGGGACTGTTTTGTTTTCTTCTTTACGCGCAGTTATTTTACAGCATCCAGACCACAGGGAAGACTGTAAACCAACAGAAGGAGCAGACTGAGTCAATACACGTGTGCTGTCCACCTCCAGAGGGTGGAGCAACAGTTAGGCTCTTACTGATATAAGCGAGAAGGGAGATCAATGTCCATGAAACAAAAGTGTTTGAGCAGAGCTGGCAAACACTTTTAAAATAGGTGTTAAAAAAAACCCAGTGCTATATGAGATGTGTCAACAAACTCAAGCCAGTGTCATACATTAATATGAATTCATGCCATCTATTAAATTAGACTAGCTGTCAGGAAAACGATAAGGCGTTTGACATTTCCTCACATCTTCTCACCTGTACAGTATATGCCACAGGCCTGACACTATTCACTCACTGACAGGGGGATACTGAAATATAAAGCATATCGTCAAATAAAATTGGGAGAGAAATGTTGAGAAATCTGACATACGCCTTTTTATTCAATATTATATCAAATGACAAACAACAACAACAACAAAAAAAGGTCACAATTCCTAGATATAAAAAGGGTTTGGATTGATTATGATTAAAAATATAGCAAGTCACACGCATAATATATTTATATACCCTTTTACTATTTGTTTAACTTATAGTAAAAGTGTATATAGTAAAAAAAAGTATAATATAATTTATATAACTATATAATTAACATTCAAACTGCAGACCAGAAGTATGCTTTTAGGGTCAAAGGTAAATACATTGATTAGAAAATGTATTACTTAAATTTAAAAAATTAAATATTTGTATGGACAGCTTTACAATAGAAACAATAACTTAACATCTTTGTTATCATAATTAAGAGCAATTATGCGCAAAATATAACATTTATACTTGTATACACATAGTATAGTACAAATTAATGTCATCTTGAAAGTAAACAACAGAAGCATTCCGATATTCTGGTTTGCTGCAGGTAGATATTTTAATTAAATTAAATTAAAGAGTGCTGGAAAAATATCTGTCAACTTACACTGTTACCCAGACATCTCTCATCTGTCCATGTTTTAATTAGCTGGTTCTTAAATTGAGTTTTATTACTTTTACTTCTACAAGACCATCAACTACAGTAGAGAAGATTAAAAATATTTAGGAAGATGCCAAAAAAATATAGGGCAATATAATGAAGGAACTTTCAGATCCTTAAAATTAAAAAAAAAGAAGAAGAAGCTGGAAACAAACAAACAAAAAAAAAAACCCTCAAAAATATTTTGGGGGGAAAAAAGACTACTGCCATTTTTTGCCACTGGCACAAAAAATGGAAATGCCACATGACTGTAGTACAAAAAAGAACAACTGCAGGATTAACAGCATATGCTTCACATTTACACAGTTAGAAAGTATTAGTGTCAGTAATATGCAATAATTAATTGAAGGTCTAAATTTCAGCTAAGCTTGAAACCTTGTTTATGACAAACAACTTGGTTTCAGCCTGGAATACAACTGA